GCCCAGAACGACCAAGGACAGCCAGTTCCTGACCATTGAGATTCCGAGCTATATCACTCCACAGACTGATATCAAGAAACATGTGACTGGGCAAAAAAACAGCGAAAGTAAGTAACAAATGTAGCACAGTCGATAAAGCAGTGGTGTGCATGTGTAACATACTTTTCATTCTGAAGCACCAAATCACTCCGCACAGTGGTACCGAATGAAGTAACAGTGCTAGAAACGCCTGTGATGCTAACAACAGCGCCAACGACATCTGACAGAGGCACAAGCAAGAGAAGAGAGGAAAGGGTGGTAAGCAGTACAGTGCAGAACGGACAGCAAGAGACGTAAAGAATACAGGACAAGACCTGTCAGATAGACCGATGAACGTATGCGGGAATGAAGCGAGCTGAACGGGGTAAATTCGAACGCATCTGGCCAGAATGAAGGTGACGAACGGGTCACGTCTTCGAACTGTGTAGCAGCAGAGAGGACGATGGTCAACTTATGAGAGCAAGAACGATACGAAGGGGCCGGTGGCTTGACGCGGAAGTTGCTCACGAAATAAACGCTACCCAACTGCAGAAGCGGAGAGAAATGGCGCGTGAGTTCCGAAGGAGCCGTGCCCTGAATCAAAGTACCCTGGCCAGAAAAGAAACGAACATCAGAGGGCTGTAAAAAGAAGGGAGGCGCAAGATTGCATGGCAAAATAAAGAAGAAAGCAGCGCTGACCTCCTCATCATTCCACAGAGTGCAGTAGTTGAAGATTAATGTAGGATTCTTCAGCCCATAAGACCCCCACGCATGAAGGAGGCGCAGCTTCAGAAGAGTCTGAAGGCCATCGGAGTCGCTGAGGTCAAGAAGCAATTTATGGGTCACCATGGAAGAGCAATAGAAGAAAGCAAGCGAGCAAGCAAGATAGAAGAGGGAAAGTCTGTGAGGAGCATAAATGAAAGGTAGCAAAGCAAAAGAAGACTTTTGTGGGGAAAGGAACAGATGAGGAAGCGCCAGACCTGTCATTTCTCAGGGGAAAGGTGAGGAGTTCCGAAAACCGATAAGTTGCAGAGAGAAGAGAAGTCGCTGGCGAAGCAACCCAGGCTAAAAGCAGAGAGGAAAGAGAGAGAAAGCAATGATTACAGACGAGAACGCAGTAAAAATGTGTCAAAGAAAAACAGTGTTAAGACGTGACTCTATGAAACAGTAAACTTGTAACTTGTTCTTTTAATGAGATAATAGCTCTGTGTTTAATCAGCAAAGTGAAGGGTAGAGTTGTGCACGTTACCTGGTACACTGTATATATACTTACCCAATTCGTCAAAAAAAAAAAAGTATATATACTTACCCAGTCGTCAACTATCAAGAACTAATTCGAATTATTGAGAGAAGATTATGTTGGATCTTATACCGCACTCTAACACAGACAACTTGAACAATCTCACTGTTCTGGTTTGCGAGATGGGTTCATGATTACAGGAGGGAAAAAGGATTTATTAGAGCAAAAGTTAAACGTGGTCTCTAGTGGTGTTACTTTTGGATGAGAATGGTGACACAGACAACTAGAGCTAGAGCTAGGTAATTAAGTGTATTATTATTATACTTTGTTTTGTTGCGTTTGAGATGGGAAGTGAGACTGTGAGAGTAGACCAGTCGCTACCACCAACTCAAATCATTGTTGAGAAATGAGAACTTGGGATGAGAATGATGAACTGTAAAACTATGTATGCATATCCCTTTAGAACAAAAGACTTTTGTTCTGAAAGTGAGTTATGTGACCAAAGCCTGGTCCCCGTTTATTTTCTAGCCAACTCTCCCCCACTTTGTTATAAGCTTATGCTTGTGTCACAATGATCTTTTTTGGAAAATTACTCTTGGGTTCCTGAATTTTTTTTATGAAAACCCTCCCGTCTTTGTTTCTAGGATAGTTCGGAATAAGTAACCTAGCTATCAGCTAGGAAAGCTTCGAACGTTTTACTCAAATCATGACCGTAGAGAAAGGGAGCGTTAGATATTGGTCGTCATGGCAACTTTGAAGGCTTGAGAGTATCAAATATCAGGAAACTCCAATTTTTGTATGGTGCATTTTGAGAATACATGTATGATTGTATTGCGAAACTATGGCAGAACTACTCAATCTGGATAGGAGCGTGATCTTTCCTTGTGCTTAGTTTGGATGCATAATTTATGTATTGTTTTCTTGGTACATGAATTATTGATAAACATCGTTTACAGAATCCAAGACGGCAAATTAGGCTATCTCGAGCTCATTGATTACCGCTGAGCTAGAAGGTAATTTGGTATAGCTCTATTATTGTTGTTAACCCCATACATCATACATTGTGCACGGTATTAAGTCTATGTTTGACCCAACTTTTAGAATTGTTTTTATGTTTTAAAATTAAGTAAGCACGATCTATAACTTCCAATTTTTATGGGTAATAAAAATTGCATCAAACCAGGAGATGCATAAACCGCCACCTCCTCTAAAAAAACCCTCAATTTTTGAATAAGATGAAAAAAGTTTTTTTATAACATAAAAGTAGAAGCGGCGATTTGGGGTTTATTCAAAATATATTTTCTGAAAATACAAGATTATTTTTATCATTTTTTAGAAAACATAATTTTTTATTCATTTTTACATATTTTTAAAAATAAAATAATTATTTAATATAAGAAATCTAACAAATCCATTTTGAATACTTTTTTTTTAATTATATTTTATGTTAAAATCATTTGTAGTCATTTTACATGACTTCTTATGTTAACTAGTAATTCTAATAATTATTTAATCAAACACTCAATTATTTTTTGTAGTAATTATTTATTTAAAAGCACCCACCTAAAACTATTTTCCCAAAAACTATTTTCCCAAAAGTATACTAGCCAATTCACAACATTGCAAAGACTTTGGTTATATCTGCTATATTTTTCTCAGATAGTAAAAGATTATGGTCTTCGATAATTACCGGAAAAAAAGAGTATGGTCTAAATCATTAAAATTTCTTTTAATTCCATGCTAATTTTATAGGCTTATCAATATTATATATAGTGTGTGTGTATATAAAAGCTTATCTTGTTTGTTAGATAGTAAAGGAGTTTTGATCGAAGGCACATACAATTGTTTTGGCATGGGAAATGTGGGCGCATGTTGTCACCAACCTTGCTTTGGTTACGCAACTGATCTTCTTCTTCTTCTTCTTCTTCTTAGTTTGGCAAATAATTTTCAGGGGTTGATTTGTTTGTTCCGTCTCTTCCTGATCCTGCCCCCGTTTGGTTCTCACTAGGGCCCCTCTGCACTTTTGTCTTTTCATGTTTAAAGGCGTTAGTACAATTTACGATAATCTTCCGGTCTCGAAAACTAAATCTCGTCATATTACTGCTCGATACGAATTCATTGGTGACAACATCAGGATGTAATGAACACTGTGTATTTGATTTTGGCTTCGAGTAAGGTCTTAATCAAATTGCAATCACGAGGAAGTACAATGTCCCCAAATCTGAACCCTACAAGTCAATTGATAGGAAGAAAATTTTCAGATTGCTTGATGTATATATGTTTTATTATGTAGCATACATCCTCGTGATTGTTAACCAACCTTCGAAAAAAGTTTATGGAAGAAAGTTCACTGGACTGAGAGGGCCTGGGTCCTAAAGACATGAACAAAGAGCCCACTGGGAAGGCAGATTATCATGATACGGGCCCAAAATTCATGGATCAGCCCAGTAAGCCAAGGGCCAAGGTGCCCTTTCTTTCTTCAGTTGCAAGTTTCAACAAGTTGAAAATATGCTGGTTCTGTGTTGGTTGTTCAACAAGTTTTAGCATAATCTTATTCAACAACTCGAGTTATTGGGATGCATCCTGAACACGTGTAACATGTCATAAACGAAAGTCACTCACAAGAACTTGAAGTTTGCACAGGCCTGAACACAAGAATACCAATATACCATGTGCTTCACAAATGGGGGTCACCAGGATTCGAACATAAAACCTCTCGGTTACAGAAGGCTCTGATGCCATGTCAAAAACCAATTGCTCCTAAGTCCTAATGACTCGAATTGTTGGAAGAGGTTCAATTGTGGATAGGGATGACAATTTTGCCCATACCCATGGGCAAAATTACTATCCAACCCAACTGGGTTGGGTATGAAATCCAAATAGATGGGTATGGATAGAGTTTGAAGGGTTTGTACCCATATCCATTTACTTTGGGTTGGGTTGGGTTTATAACAAATGGATTTGGGTTTGTACCCATGTCCAAATATAAATTACAGTTTGGTACATAAACTTAATAGATATGCATATTTAGTACCTAAATTTTATTTTTTTTGCATATAAGTCCTCAAAATATCGATTGAAAATTACGTTTGGGTACCTAAATTTTTTTGGTCTTACATTTTGGTACCTAAATTTTTCAAGTTTTACAAATAGGTCCAATTTTTGCCTGTGTAGTTAAAACACCCTCAAGTAAATGGATATCCATATCCAACCCATACTCATTTAGGTTATGGAAGCAATATTCATACCTTACTCAAACCCATCTACAAACCCCCCAAACCCATATGCACTTCACCCATACCCAACCCATTATCAATGGGTCTACTTGGGTTTGGGTATAATTACCCATGGGTAGGTAATTGCCATTCCTAATTGTGGATCATATACCACACACTAACATAACAGTTGGGTAAAAAACTCTTATCCCAGTAACATTCCACACCCTAACTCCTTGAGTTATGTGCTCGTCTGCACATATTAACAGAATCTTGGTCATGATGTTGTGTTTAGGTCAGCCATTACCCAGAAGGATACAAGCAAGATCGTATAGTTGGGATGGGAATGAATGAAGAAGAGCTCAAATGGAACCCCGTAAGATTCTACCTATTCTTCCTCCTAGTGTTTGTTTGGTTTTCTCTATTTACTGACGAAAGGCTTCCAAAAAAACGTATTTGTTCGTGGATTTCTTCCTCTTTGTTAGGTTCTGACAGAGTACATTGTGCAAGACTTGAATGTGGAACCTAAAAACTCCCGTTCGATGACAATTCCTTCGATTTCATACCTAATGTGGTATATGTCAACTCTACTGTCCTGCACAGTTGTTTGTGGGCCGGGATTGGTTTGGGTTTGCAGGCTGTGGATACGTCTCCGAATCCCGGACGTTCTGATCCAATCTATTGCCCTTGAGCAGACAACAAAAACAGCCATTGGAGCAGAATAAAGAGATAATGAATCCGATTCCAGTAGTCCACTACTTGTCCTTTTCACGAGTGGTGCAAAAAAGGAAGAACTGCAGAAACTAGGTTCGTTGATTCGTCGCCAACCATCCAATAACATATTCTAGATATGACCAAAAGCAGAATCGAATATATACACATTACACACCCACCAGCCCACAATTCCTCCAAAAGAGAAAAAACAAAAACAATTGAAGAAGAAAAAAAGGGCACAGAATCAACGAAGCAGCAGCAGCAAAATGCTTGTGTGACAGTGGGGAATTACATTACATAACATTACCTTACTACAAGTTTTATGCCCAGCCTTGCTTGTAACGGCGGAAGAGATCCTCCGTCTGGGCGTTCTTGAAAGCGCAGCAGGCGACGACGTAGACGAAGATGAGCACAACGGCGGCGACGATGAGGAAAGTGCTGGCCTTCCGCCACTCCTTCCTGAGGTTCCCCAGCAGCCCGGCCCTGCAGGAGTTGCAGTTGTAGCACAGCTGGTTCGGCTCGTTGCTCCAGTTGTAGCAGTCCGGGTCGCCGGTCGGGTTCGCCGGGTTCAGCCACGTCGTCGGGCTCACGTAGCTGTACCCGCACACCGTCGGCGGCTTGCAGCAACCCGACTGCAATCGTTGCAAAAAAAACCAAAAGGCAGAGCAGTTTAGTAAAACAAAAGGGACAAAAGGGAAAACGGTGACAGTTCATTTTTTGTTTATTGTAAAGGTTTTGGAGTTTTCTACTTTCACTTTGTCGTTTTAGTCTGGAGTTCCCATGATTTGCGACAATAATTGAGGCGGTGGGTTGTGGAAGTGCCAACCCATTTCGTTTCCTTGCGGAAGGGGGATGACATTTCATTAGGGCTTCTGTTTCCTTAGCCTATTTTGATTGATTAATTATGACGGAGACATCATATGTTGTTGCTACCAAGTACCAACCAACCAATGGTGCTCACATGACTTTGTACAAGTGCATTTATAAAAGCAGGTGTCTTGATGTTTCATGATCGTTGGATGAAAGGCAAATGATAATTTATTTGTAAAATTGTTCTAGCGATCGTACGTGTTTGTGAAATAGTTTATCACAAATCTAAATATAAGCACGATAGCAAAGTCAGCTACAGACTACACTCATTGCCGTTATTGAATCGTGTATTTCACAATCCATAATAGCAAAATTCAAACAAAGCCGCTCGCTCATCACGGTCAAGAACTGGCATACGGTCGGCCGATTCAAACTGGTCTATAACCAAAACCGGTCATCTGAAACAATTGGAATACACTCCGACTGGATGGTTCTGGGAGAAAATCAAAATCGGGACAAACCAGTCAAAATTGGATGGTCTGATCAATAAAAATCGGATTAAACCAATCAAAAACGAGTTTGATAATTTGATATTATATTTGATGTTGAAGGTTTTCTCATGTACTATATTAAAACTGACCCATTAAACCTCAAATCACTTATTAAACCGACTTGACCATTAATAAGTTTGACAACCTTGCTCACTATCCAGCACAAAAAGGGGGAAAAGGTTAGAAATCTCCCTCGCCATCTTGTTCGTAGATTTGTGGCTAATGATGGATCATGGGACCTTCACATTGAAAATGATAAATTCCACCAACAATGGGTCCCATTCCCATCCATGGCTGTCTCCTCCCTGCTCTAACTTCTAAGCACATTCACTGACTCAACTTTCCTACTGCAGTCTCCAGTCCTGCTGCAGGACTAGAAAATCTCGTCACCGGGTAAGAAAAAAGAAAAGGAAACCCCCAGAAACAGGGCACAGTGATTTTCAAGCATCTTTCTCGAATTAACCAGTTCATCTCAATAACTCGCGCGATTTTTCCGAACTCAATTCGAAAATTGGTAATTCGAAAAAAAAGATAGAACTAATTACCTGGAGAGGAGAGATGTGGCCGGCGAAGAACTGGTCCGCGGTGAGGTAGCTCCGGGTGAGCCTGGAGCAGACGTCGCTCTCGGCGAGGCAGGCGCGAATCGCGCCCCAATTCTTAGAATCGACGATGTGGCCTTGCAGCCAGGACGAGAATCCTTCGATCCGGTACTCCCTGTACCCGCGGCCGGGGACGGCGTAGCCGCCGTCGGGCCTGGTGACGACGAAGGCGAAGACGAGGAGGGTGAGGAGGAGGGCGATGAGGATGGCCATACAGCAGAGGTAGAAGGCGAGGAGTGTCTCCTTGTACCAGTATGCGCCGACGAAGCCGGTCAGGGAGACGACGAGGACGAGGAGGCCGAGGAGGACGACCGGCCACCGGACGAAGTGGATGCACTCGTTGTCCGGCTGGGAGGCGAGCCAGATCCCCGATGCGACGATTGGGACGGAGCACAGGAAGGCGATGAAGTTCAGGACTGCGGTTAGGTTGTTGGATAGCGCCATGGTTTTGAGAGAGAGAGAGAGATTTTGACTGTGTGGTTTGCTGGAATTGGGGGGAATTTGAAAGAAAGGCGTTCTCTTATAGGGAAAGCTTTTTGCAGCGAGTGGAAAGGGAAGGAAAGGGAAGAAGACGGGAGGGGAAGCTTTTAGTGTGTTTCCTTTTTTGACTTCCCCTGTTTTCTTTGGTTTTTACACTAGTGTGCATGTTCAAAAAGGAAATTCAAAAAGATTAAGATAATTGATTTTTTTTCTCAAGATATATTCTCTCAATACAACATGAAAATTCATAAATAAGTTTGGACTACATGTACTAAAGTGTTCAATAATTGTAGGAAACTATTTGATGAAGAGATTAGCAATCTATTGGTAGATCACTTTTGTCAGCTGAAGAGTAATCTACCGTTAATATGCGTCGATATTACATCTCATGTGCATCTCTCAAGCCTAAAAAAAAAAATCAATTTCACAATTGGTTTTCTCATCACCATCCCTCCCCATTGAAGTTCATAGTTAGACACCACTCATCCTGATCTTACCCAGCTGCTCCTGCTAAAATTATTGTGAAGTGTTTGGCCGGTATAACCAGATTCAGTCAGTATATTGCACACAAACTAGATGGCAAAAAATACAGGTATGAAGCGATAGTCAAACCTGATATCAAAGGCCAAAGTCGATCAAAATTGGGAAAATCAGGGTCAAGTCGGGATGATAACCTTTTCCGCTTTAAACAAATGACAGCATACGTTTTGGCATATAATTAACTAACAAAAAAGAAAGGAATTTAATGAATCCAAGTATATATGACAACATGTTAGTATCTTTTTCATTGGACTTGAGTTTGAACGTCCAGACGTTGGTGTTATATATATGTTGCACATTTGAATACGATGATTTTGTCACTTTGTTTGTAATGTGATATTTTATTTGGATATTAATATAGATTATAGGGAGATCATTTTAAAAATATCTTATATATTTACACAATTCATTTGGGTGAGAGCACATGGAGGCACTTCGTCTGTAGCAAGCAATGCAACGTGGGCTTTCTCGTTAACCGGAGAATATTAGCGGTATAAATTTACAGACACTACTTCCCAGCTACAGTCCGCCGCCGGCCACATCGATCTTCTCTACGTTCTTCTCGGTTTCGCGCATCCATGCAACCGCCCCCCCGTCCGGAATCCATCGTTCTTATCGTCGTGGTCGGTCGTCTGGTTATATATTTTGGGCTCTCTTGAACCTTAGAGTTATTCTCATCGATCCAAGTTCTTTGTTGCCTGTTGGGCCGGATCTATGAATTGCCTCTTTATACGATTTCAGTGCACTTAATTAAACTACACTAATTAACAAGTAAATCAAGCTAACGAACTAAAGCATAATTCCAAACTCAAGTTCAATCATGAGGAAAGGGTTGCTCAGGTTCGAATACCCCCTAGCTAGTTATTAATTAAGATCGACCATGCACAACGTAGTACCGATCGATGTTGTTTTCTTGATCGAAGAAATTCTTATACTAGTGTTAACCCATTTTTCTCATGTATTAACACTCTATCGATCAATTGGTTAAGGCTCGCGATATTCTCATTGCCCTAAAGCTAACGAATTGATGCATTTAAATCGATCCATGAACTCCCGTATTAACTTTAGTTTCGTCCTAAATTGTAGGTTTTTACATGGTTTATATTATAGCGACCCAATTAATCTCTTATGTCCTTAAGTGCTTTTGTAGGTCTTACATGGTTTCTACTTCAATTGAATATTGAGAAGATAAAATAAGAATATATCAAAGAAATCAAATATCAAGAGCTGTATTGTATTCAGTCGATATCCTAAAACATGGCTACGCTTCATCTTATTCAAACAATAAAGGAGTTTAATTCATCGTAAAGGAATAGAAATCAAACTAATAGAGAAATTATTCCAACAACCGATAGAATTCCATAAGAAACGATTCTGGGAAACAATAACAAAAATTTATTTAAAATGATTCCACGGATTTCAACTAATTTTTAATATGTTCGTGTTATCAACTTTTGTTATGGATTTCATCAGTCATGGATTTCACACATGGAAACATGAAACAGAAATGGAAAATAATACTAAATAGGGTGTTAGATGTAGAACAAATAGTCATACAAAGCAACTCAACACCTATACGAATTTATTTCCTAATATCCCAACAAAAACTCATCCACTCTTGTTATTTCCAACCATGGTTTTCATGTCAGAAGCATGTTTTTATTAAAACCAACATGAACGAATTTTGATATTTAAACAAAATGATGTCATTCTGGTAAATCTAATTGATAAAAGATAATTTTTGCTTTGTTGCTTGAATTGAAAGTCAAATGCTAAATGTTATTTGTTGGATTAATGATGAATGTTTAGATGTATATATTGTTTGTTGGATTCAAGTATAAGTTTTTGGATATTGGTGTTAAATATTGAGTTTACATATAAATTTTTTTCATTTTGTTTGTAATGTTATATTTTCTTAAAATATGAATGTAAATTTTAGAGATATTGTCTTAAAATATGTGCTTAAAGTCATTTAGTGTTAATGATTTCTCACTTTCCTATATATTTTGTTAAATCAAAATGAACTTACATAAATCAATTATACCACTGGTCGGACTATACCACCTGCCAAATTAGCATAATGGAATTTTAGGGTTTGTTTGGAAGATGCGAATGTTAAATCATTGGATTGTAATGAATCACTTTAATATAAATACATGCGTTGATACAATAGATACATTTTGACAATACATTGTTTGGTTGTCCATATTCCAGTTTATGTATTGGTTTGCATAAAGTTACTTCACGGGAAAATGTCACGATTACCCTCAACTTTTAGTATAAGACAAAAACTATCAGAGATATAGCAAGAAAAAAGTAGACACAAATCTAAAACCAACAATCTCAACTTATAGTTGAGATTGTATGATGCATAATTTTTTGTGATTGTTGGTGATACTTACATTTTGCAAGTTGATACTTCCAAATATTATATTGTACACACTACATATATTCAATAAACGCAATTCGAACAATTACCACTTCCAAAAGAGATCTTAATTCCAACTAAGTGGAAGTACAAGAGTTGCGTTTTAGTAATTGTAAAAAAAATGAGGGGTAAATACAATTTAATATCCAAACCTTTCAATTTAAACAATATAATAGCCAAACCTTTTCGAAAAAAATCTAATATCCAAATCGTCAACTTTCCGTTCGTTTGATCGTTAGTTGACACTTCAAAAAAGCTTTGTTTAGAGGAAATTGTCGCAATACAACTGTGTTTCTTGTTTTGGCATTGCAGATGACTGAATATTTAGATATTCTATACCATCATGGTGGAGTCATGGACTTCTCGGGTTTGGAGCTACGATATGTTGGTGGTTTTTCAGAAAAGATATCGATGGATATTGATGAAGTGTCGTACTTCGAACTTTTTTGAAGTGTCAACTAACGGTCAAACAGACAGAAAGTTGACGATTTGGATATTAGATTGTTTTCGAAAAGGTTTGACTATTATATTGTTTAAAATAAAAGATTTGGATATTAAATTTTATTTACCCAAAAATGAGTTACGCTTTAGTCCGACGCTAGTCCTTATTTCTTTCCCATCCCGCTCTGGCTCTAGGAAGCAGGATTTTCTCCTTTCCCGCGTTTTCTCGCTCGACGGAGGGCCAGTTGCAGTACTGTATCTGTTCCTGTTGCAATTGGGAGGCGGCAACTGAGCAAGGCACGAATCATGGAGCAATGGGTTCCGCTCTTCGACATTTTCCTCAACTCCCCAACTCCAGAGATCGAAGCTTCTCTATGGCTTCACCGATCTTTCAACGTTTCTTCCACCCTCCCAATCTCCGCCGCCTCCTTCCTCTCTTTACTCACTCAACCTGTCGACTCCGTCGCTGGTGAATCTGACTCCTCGCCTCCCCAGACCAAAAGCAGGTAACTTTTGGGAGCTCCATCGATGTGTCGATTTTGGTTTAGGGTTTAGCACTTTAGCTCCTTCTTTTATGGTCTCTTTATTGGAACTTTCACGACAGGGTCATGTTCATACAGACGCTACCCAGTATGGTCCAGTCTAGAATTTTAGCGTTTCTTTCTGTTGAGCAGGAGAGATTTTGCAGTGTGGACTTGAATAGATTGTGCAGGCGTGTGTTGAGTGAGGGTTGTGGTGTTGATTTCTGGGTCCAGAGCGCTGCCCGCGACCTGCTCGATAAATTGTCTGGCTCAGGTCGCCAATGGGTTCCTGATTTGGTTTTGGGTTCTGATGAATCAAGAGTGGAGATAGAGTTTAAGTCACTGCCGGGTTGGCTCAAGGATGCTGTGGCTGTGGCTACTGATGAAGTAGTTCTTCCATGGCTTCCTCTTTCCCATGATGAATTGAATTCAAGAGATTTGATTTCTAGTCGTGACACTGAACAGCAACAACCTTCACTCACTCAAGTTGGGGAGAATGAACTGTATAACTGGAAAGATGTTGCTGAAGGGATGGATATTGATCATTCAGAGAATGATGTTCTGGATCCAGAGATGCAAAACATGGCAGCAAGGTTGAGAACTCGGCTCATGAATGTCGACTCTGGTTCCAAAACTGTTGAATTGGCCGAAGAAATCCGCGAACTTTGTGTAGATAGTAAAGCTGATTCTCTTGCAGTCTTGGGTTTGATTGAACCTTGGAAAGTGGATGATGAAAGTGCAGCAGTTTTGGTTTCCCATCTTCTTAGTGGAAGTGACGAGGAGCTTGCTTGGCCTAGCCACGTCATATCTTCGGTAATCCTTCCCAAGCTGTTGGCTCTAGAAAGACCAGCTTCTCGTGTACTGATCTCTTCAGTTATGAATTTCTGTAAGCTTCATGAGCGAGCTGCTGAATACGGACTACTGATTCCACTCTTAATGAGAAAGGATGGCATCAACAATCCTATATGTGAAGTGATCACAAGGATTGTCAAGGAATGCTTGCATAGAGCTCATGTATCCGCGTTATGCCAGAAGCTCTTCTGTGGAAAAGAAGGCGAGAGAAAACCTATCTGCCAGCCTTGCCACCAGTGTCTTATATCTAGAGAATTGGTGTGGACTGAATCATTGTTCAGTCTAATACAGAACATAATGAGTCATAACGTTCAGTTGACTCAGGACACTGTAGATCAACTTGTTCACCAGGTTCATAACTTGGCTCCGAGATTCTCCAGGTCCCTGAAATTTGGACACTTTCTGTTGTGTCTCACCAAGAAATTTGGTTCATTATTGCATTCTCATAAGCCATTATTGACTGAATCGGTAGCACAAACCAATACCCTTGTGACAAAATCTATATTGTCAAAGCTGGAAAGCTTGTAGCCGAAGAATATTTTATCTTACTTCCTCGTTTTGTTTCCATGGTCAGATTTCTTCATGGTATTTAGCAGAATCACGTTATTGAGTATATGAAGTGGAGATTTTCTTACATCAGATACTTTCTGATGGAACGGAATCACAGAGCCAGACAACTCTTCAGTTCACTTTTCCATCAGGCTTCCTCTTACATAAATGAGGGTTTAATTGGGAAAGTAAAGCAGCAGTAAAAACAGAAAATGAAGCAAGCAAGCAAACAGTTATTTAAGACATAGAAAGGGGCAGTCTTAGGCATGGAACCCATTGCTACCCTTAGCAAGTTCCTTCATGGTCTCAAATCTCGTTCCCTTGTCTGTGAATTTTGTGGCAGAATAGAGCTGAAGATAATCACCAAAAGTATATGAGAGGGGGTAGAGAAGCTTCGAAGCTGGAGTTATGACCGCATCACCAGCTGGATTATAGAACGTGGCTATGGAGAGCCTGCTTCCGTTCTTGTCAGCCATGACTCGATGCAGAGTACTTTTGTATCTTCCATTGCTCAAGACCTCCACCTGATCACCTATATTCACAAAAATGGTGTTGTTCCTGGATGGAGGAATCTGGAACCACTCCCCATTTTTCAGGAACTCGAGCCCTGGGACTTGATCGTCCTGAAGCAGGAGTATGATCCCACCGGCATCAGTGTGCTCTCGGAGCCCCCTCACAAGTTCTGGCTCTGGACATTTTGGGTATTTAGCAACTTTTGTTCCCACAGCAGGACCCTCTTTCCCAGAGAAAGCATCCTTGATGAAACTTTCATCTAATCCCAGATTCTCGCACATGAGGTTGGCGAGTTTCTCTGCTAGCTTTATCATTTCAGCAATGTACTCATCGACGGTTTTGCTGCCATTAACATTTTGCAAATGCATGTAAACGTTAGTCAGAGCATCCCAGAGATAATAAGAGGCAGAATCTTGAGTTGCTTTCGTATGAGGAAGGCACTCACCTGAAACCCTGAGGCAGGTTTGGGATTTGATGGATGTTAGAGGTTGGACGGTGCCTGATGAAGAAGCTGCTTTCCCAATCCACATCAGATGGGTTTTCTTTATTATTCAGCTTCTTGGCTGTCCCTGATTGATAGAAGCTCTCTTTCAGGTTTTCCTCGTAGTGTTGATCAACCAACTGCTTCACTTTCTCCATCAACTTGCTATCAATCCCGTAGTTTCGAATCTGCAGCAAGACATAAAAAAAGCCCTGTCAATGTCATTATGGGATCCTGTCACCTGATTGCATGAGAGTGGATACAAGCTTCCCTCACAAATTACCTGAAAGAAGCCCCAGTTCTCACAAGCATCGTGCAGAATCTCCATGGCCTTGCTCCTGTTCTCACCCTCAAGCTCACTGAAATCAATGGTGGGGATCTCCATAGTTTGCTCAGGCATTGTCCTCCTCTTCTGCAACTGTGAAAGTAAGTGACTTTTGTAGTTTTGAGCTGGGGAGAGTTTATATAAGCCAAGGGTCAGGGGTGGCCTTTGGAAAAGTTTAGACTAATAGTATTATTATATTACCCTAAATGTAGTTAACCTTAGGAAGCGTCAGGAAGTTAAAACTAGACAGTAAACTGAATTCTCTGGATTTGTCCCCTGAAAACAGAATCAAATGCGAAAGAGTAATCCAAGTTCAGCGTATAGTTCCCACATAATCTGGTCAGGAAGATCTCATTTATTTTAATAATCTCAGATCAACAGTCAATGTGTGTGGATTTGTGCATAAGTTCAGTGCCCAAAAAAGGTAAACAAGGTCAATCAACCGCCCCTTGTAATTCTCACCCCATTATAACTGAATCTGGTTCTTTCTTCCTTCTCATATTATTAATCTTCATCAACTAGAATGGGAATTCTTATATATATATGTCAACTTGCTGCATGATTGAGTTTTACTTTATTATTTCTGTGAGCATCTCGAGTTTCATTGTCTTTGAGAAAAACTGTGGGGTGGGAATGGGGTTGGATTCAGATTTGGATCTCACGGTTCCCTGCCTGTGGGGAGTTATGGTAGTGTTTGCTCTGTCGCTTGGTTTTCAGCTGAGAGAGGTATGGAGGAGAAGGATGGCTGCTGCATGCAGAGATTCCTGAAGAAAGAACTTGTCAGTTTGTCATTTGAGTATGAGCTGGATTTGAACTATGTTTCATGGATGATTTTACAACTTCGTAGTTAATTATGTTTTCTATCCAGCTGGAACTTGGATGCATGGTCTGTCTCATACCACTTCTGTAAAGAATAGAATAATTATATACACTCCGAGATTGTGCTTTCCTCAGCTGCAGGAGTATGCCTCTTCACACTTTCCCCTGCATTGGTTCATATAGAAGGAGAAATGAAGTAAGCCAAATGTGGAGGGCTGAGACCTGTAGCATCAAGAGGTTCTCACCATGGAATTTGCAACGATCCATATTACTACCTGTTTGTTATTTGATCTTACTTCCACTTATCGTTCCTTGGTAAATTTTGATATAATTACCAAAAAGTACGCTTAACGAATAGTAACACGTATCTATAGAATTGAAAATGCCTAAAGTTGGGCCTCTTGGACTGATGTCCATGAAATTGGAATTATTTACAAAAGAACCATCATCACCCAATCTCCACGTATACTTTAGTTTCGTGTCTGTCCTCGACAAGTTATGGCGTGGATTCACTATATGCACCGAATCCTTATGGCCAACGATATAATTAAGGTGACTAAAGGTAAGATAGTCTAACGGTAAAGCAATCGTGACAGTGAAGGTTTGGGAGCTGCAAATCTCAGGTTCGAATCCAAGTGAGGCCCGTTGGTGTTCCCGGAGGTATAAGGCTGCTGGGGGCAAAGCCCTATTGACTTTGAATCGTATGCAGGTAGCCCCCAGGTTTAGTAGGACCCGCTGTCACAAAGTGACACGTGAGGCTGAGGTTCCTTCGTATCCAGGAGTGGGAAACAAAAAGGCAGAATGGGTGGCTAAAAGAAGCTATCAAAAGATCGTGGCTTGCTTTGAGAGGATCCATATTCTCGATATCGTTCCGATTCTGCTGTAACTGACCTTACTTGTACCGTTGCACTTCTCTCGTTACTAGTGATGGAAATTTGAACTCATTCCGCGGATATTACCCGTCTTAACCCGCGATGGGGCGGTTATTACCCGACTCGCACTGTCACGCCCCGGTCTTGGCCCATTCTATCAAAATTTCTTAACGTTCTTGTACATATTTCTCCTATTTTGACTTTTCTTCAACTAGTTAGAGTCGATCTTCCAACTATTTAGACTCAATCACTCATCTATTATCACTATTTTCATTTATAAAGTGTTTTCCACTTCGTTTTATTATAAAAAGTAAAATATGTGTGTATGTTTTCCAAATAATATGTAAGAGTGGGTCGACCCGCCCCGCCCCGTCTCGTCCCATACCCAAACGGGTTTTACCCGTCATGACCTGCAGTAGTGTGAAGCGGGGCATGAGTATTGAGATACCCACTCCGTCACGCCCCATTGCCAATTTGCCATCACTACTCATTACAGTGAAATATATTTTTATTGTAACATTTTTTTTTATGTCCTCTGTTTGTCATAGTACAATTTGAAGGTATTCAAATAAAATATTTCAAACATATCTAGGGGTGTGCAATAGTGCAATTCGTACTCGATCGCACTAGACCAAACATGCATTTGGACTTGACCATATCGAACTTAGGGGTAGGCAATGGGTGGATTTTGGTCTCAAATTGACCCACTCGCTTACTACGAGTTGGTATAGTTGTAACCCGCTATCCACCCACATTGTTCTGCCGGTCGGATTGGGTGGGTGGCGGATGGGTGTGATTGGGTCGTGGTTAACCCATAAAAGCAATTCTCCAACTATCCATTAAGAAAGTTGACTAACATTTATAATAAGTTCATAGCAAATTAGTAAGACTGTATCAATATAGACACGTCTCACTTTGTCTCATGTGAATCCATGTAGTATTTGTATCAAAATTTTCATTACTCTATCAATCAATTGTGTAGAGAAAACTAATGCATTTTACGATTTTGATACAATTAATGAATTAATAGTTTATAGTTTGCATTCCAGTATCTAATGAATTTTACACAACACAATAACCAATAATAATAGTAAAAAACTATTATTTATTCTCCATCTTTAAAAGTAGTTAGTCAGACTACTGAAGAGAACATAGACCGAATTGATATTTGGACCGAAACAAATGGACCGAATGCAATGATTGTCTGATCCTTAATTCTAAGATATCTTTCACTAATATACCGCGATTCTCATGATTTCGATTCGGTACCGAACCATTGCACATCCGTCAACACATCTATTTCAAATCCTTATATAGAAATACACAAAACACCTTTAAACACATAATACTAGTCATCATCACCCATCGCACTCCATGAACCGACGGATTATAAATAATTTCTATCTTATAGTAAAGTTTCAAAACGGTAATTCTGATTTCACTAACCATCATGATTGCACCTTTTAAAAACTGTGGAGTTGGAAACAAACAAAGATTAAGCCACAGCAGTAAAGCACAATCAAGATCTACAAGATGCCCAAGAGAATTTCCAACTTCTTTGCTAATACACTTGACTTTTCTTTCTCCCTGCAGATCAACTAACTTTGATGGTCAAGCCAAACCTCCCAACAACAATAAGCAATTAATTCCACCAGCGTTTTCCCCCTCTCTTTCAAGAAAAGGGGAAAAGAATGGCTTGGTTTCTTCCTTACCCTAACTCTTTACGTAACGAAAGAAAATACCTCAAAAAACAGAAGGATACTTCCTCTCAAGCTGAAGTCATGGCGACCTCTGCCTTTTTCCAAAGTAACTCAACCACAACCAACTCGTGCTGCACAAAGCCCGGAGGGGTTAGTGACTCGGTTGGGGATGGAAATGGATACATCATAATACATCCATACATGTCGGAACGATTATGCTATGTATCATATTCGAATCACGATTTTAGATAGTAACAATTTTGGTAACTAGAAGTTTGTGGGTTTATAATACGACATATATTAAGTTCTTGAGATGAAGATTTTGATTGGTTCTTTTCTAAGATATTACATTTTGATAAGTGAAAGAGAATGTGCAATGACTTTTGAGTGATATGAATGCTCTAAATGATGAAGTGAGGGGATTAAGATCATATATGTAGCATATGGTCCGATTGATTTTGGTACGTGTACTTAAAATATAATTAGCTTTATTATGGAGTTTTGGAAAATTCCACCAAAATTTCATGTCGTTTGGAATTTTTTTGAATGAAATTGGTTCGAATTCGGCTAGGTTCCTCTTCAAACCATAAATTATTAGTTGTAATCGTAAATGAAATGCATATACCGTAATGTTAAACAAATGTTGACGATTTAAATTTAAAAATTGAATATAGATATATCTTTAATAGGGACACATTTCGAAATCGAGCATACATTTTAAACACCACCTCTAGGGATGCGAATGAGTTAGTTGGGTTGGGTCGGGTTTCTCCAAACTCAACTCAGTGAGTACATCCACACATAAAAAAAAATTCAATAAAATACCTACTAGGGTATGATAGAGAAACCAACCCAACCCAACGAGTACCCACGAGAACATGAGTATCCATGAGTTCACGGAGCAAATAATTTATCTAAACATACATCTTTGTATTGTGAAAAAAATTTGTACAACTCCATCTTATTAGGGTTAGATATGGAATGATGCCGTTCTAATTTTCGGCTGCGAGTCGGATTTTGATAAAACCTGAATCCAATTCACGATTTCAAAAGATGAGTAAACTCGCACCTGACTCAAAACTTGTCAACCCTAAATTTTATTTGATTTGATCGGATCAAACCGAATTAGATACCTCTAGTATGAGTTCAATTGTCATCCCTAACTGACACAAGTTATCATAATACCATTAGGACTTAAAATGCAATTAACTCTTGACTAAATTAAATTTAGAAGTGCTTTATGTAAACATAGAAAAAATTAGAAATATATGATAATCCAAAATTGTCCCTTTACGGCTTTACCCCTCTCCTCACTTCCCCGTCCTCTCAAACCGGAGGGTCGAGCGAGCAAACGAAAATATGCTTTTTTTCGCTTCTTCTTCTTTTCTTTTCTTCCTCTGCCACTTGAGCGCCAGCACTGTGAACTCGGGAACGGTCGGCGTTTGTTTCAGTCGCAGAACCACTTTCCGCTGGCTCACTGCCTTCCCTCCCGCCTCTCCATTGATCTCCGAGACTGTTCTCTCTCCGTCTCTCTCTGTGTGTGAACGGAGACTGCAATGAGGTTACTCTTAGCTCCGGCTCTCTTCTTCTGTGCTCTCCTCGTCTGCTTTCCGGCCACTGAATCAGCCAATGGAGATTCCAACTCCACCGCGGAGGTAAATGCAACCCTGGATTCCAACTCCACGAAACTCAGATCCAGGGAGGACACCTTCGCCTTCATGATCGATCGCGCACTGGAGAAGGAGTTCAATGAGACGGACCAGGGTGAAGGTCTGTTAACCTGGATCCGAGCTCATTCATAGGAGAGCTGCATTTTTTTTCGCTTTCTCTGTTTTGCTTTTTCTCTAATTCATGAAGCAATAGGGCTTTTCAGCAATGGCGGGTGAGGTTTCAATTGCCAAATCCTGCCAATTCAGCAGCTAATCCGTGTTTCTCTCTTTCTTCAATTACTCCATTGCATTTTCTTGAAAAGTTTCGATTCTGGAGTCTGGGATGCGCTGTTGGTTTAAGCTTCTGGTTGATTGAATATCGTCTTCACTCTGATTCGACCTAAATACTTGTGGAAAAAGTGTTCTGTTGCCCGAATTTGAAATCACAGAAGCTTTGAGTATCCGACATATTCAGCTCTTTGCGTTTTCATTTGCAGCCACTGATCCCGGCAGCTTCAATAACAGTGTTGCTGGACAGCAGGTTGGTAACATTTTTTGCTTTCCGGTGGTGTAACTCATAGAGGTTTCTCTAAGTTGTTGCTTATGCTGTATATGTTTATGGGCACCGTATATCACAACAGTGTGCTCACTTGGTTCTTGAGATTTAGGCAGACTGTACTAGAATAAGCTGGAAGCTATTGTAGTAGGCACCCACACTAGAACTATCACCATATTGGAATCTAATGTGAATTCCTCTAACGTAGTAGAATGTTAAGATGCTGATGACTCATTGCAGTTCAAGTTCAACACTGGGCTTTAATTGATGGTCTTGTAACTGTTGCTCTGGCTCCAAGTAAAGACCCGGGTGGTTGTAGGCGTACAATTAAGAAAAGTGTAGTACTTTTGATTCGATTGTATTAGGAGTTCGGTGAGTGTGGGCATGTATCCAAATATGTCAACTTTGACGGGGGTGGTAGAAACAAATTTGTGGTTGTGAATGCTGGCCATGGTTAGTCATAATTGCATTAGATTTCTCATTATGGACTACTGTCTCCTTGTTAACTGGTGCTTAATTGGAAATGTTTCATTGCGCTAGGCAGTTTTGGAGACTGTTGCCAGGGTCACAACCAAGAAGAATGAATCCAAGGAAGAGAAGTATGTGTTCATTTTGCTGCATATATTTTCCTTCTTCTGGAAATTTCTGTTACAGTTGAACTAGTTTTACTAGCAGATCTGACAACTGCCAACTCCCCTGTGAAATATGCCAGGTCCTTTCAGTTTCATAGTGTTTTCAATTTTGACAATGATAACCGAGGGGAAGATGCTCCAAGATTGATTGATAAAAAGGTACAATCAATATATGTCTTTCATTTCAAAATGTAAACATTTGAACCATTTAGTTGAAGCTCAATACTAGGAAACTCTATGATGGTAAGTCTCCGGCATATGGAACTGACACATTCTCTCTCTTTTTCTTATTGTCCATTTTATTTCAGGACAATGTCTTTATAATATCAAATCCGAAGTCCAAATATCCTGTGCTACAACTTGACTTAACGTGAGCTTGATCCTATTTGTTTCTTCATCTTGATCCTTCATACTTTAGAAATGGCAACTAACAGTAATATCTTCTGTTGGCTTTCTGTTTCACATTTGTATCATTACAGTTTGATATCAGATCTAGTGGTTGTCATCGTTTCTGCTGCTTGTGGTGGAATAGCATTTGCTTGTGCTGGACAACCGGTTAGCTAACTTGACTGCTATATGCTTTATGATTGACCACGAGTTTCTCTCACATCCTTACTGCTTGTTTAATTCCATTCTTTCTCTTACTTTTTTTTTATATCATCCATCGGCATCCTTTATGATTCAAGATGCTTTCTTTACTAGTCCACATTTAAAGAACCACTGATGTCAATGAAACACTATATTCAGGTATTTACAGGATACCTGCTAGCAGGATCTGTAATTGGGCCAGGGGGCTTCAGCTTTGTCAGTGAAATGGTACAGGTAAGTTGGCATGCTGTTTTTTCCCCTTTGTCTCTTTCCTTGTGATATGATATGATTCCACAGGAATCCAGTAAGGTTCAGATATGTAGATATATTTTCATTTACAATTTCATTTCTCAGACTCAGGCAGCTTTGAAGTTTTCCATAAATTCTACCGTTCTAGTGTAGGTGCAATATTTGCAGTTGAAATCTAGCTGAGATCATAAAATAATAGATGTCAAGTGCCTCGTGTCTTTTTGGGTCCTTATGTCATTAGTTTGGTGTCTTGTCTAGTTTTTCTTAAGTCATTCACTACTTTAAACCTTTTTCTTAAGCTGATGCAGTATATATTCATACCAATCATAGCCAGTAATGTTACTTACTGTTAGGCTGAGCTTTCTTAACTCTAATCCATTAATTCTTCTCTTCATACTTTGAACTTTAGTAGCAATATTTGCTGATGAAACTTGTACAATTGTGAAGTTTGCTACTGAGAATACCTATGCTGTTTAGTTTTCTTCTTGTCTAGCAAGGTTCTACACAAAATTTATTTTCTTATAAGATACTGTAAAATTAACAGGTGGAGACAGTGGCACAATTTGGTGTTATTTTCCTCCTGTTTGCACTGGGTCTGGAGTTCTCCGTCACCAAGGTCTGCACATTTTCCTTTCTGCTTGTGTGGTTTTAACTTTTAACTACTTTACAACATAACCTTTTGCATTTCTGCTCCAAATGCAGCTTCGAGTTGTCCGAGCAGTTGCTGTTGTTGGAGGCCTTCTCCAGATTTCGCTCTTTATGTGCCTTTGTGGATTGATAGCCTCGGTATATTATGCATTGTTTTAAGTTCTCATAGGCCAACATTCTTAAAGAAATTTTATTATATGGACGAGGATAAGAAACTATCCACAAGATGAAATAAAGAGTATATAGAGTTCTGTATAACATATATGCAAATTTCCCCATTACATCCCTGCTGTAACTTGGCTAATAGCATGTTTCTTTTATATCCTTTGCCAGTTCTGTGGAGGTAAGCCTTCAGAGGGAGTATTTGTTGGTGCATTTCTCTCAATGTCTTCGACTGCTGTGGTAACCTTCTCTGGCATAGATTGATTAATTTTTGTCTCTGGCATAGATTGATTAATTTTGCTTCTGTATTCGTGACACTGCATTCAAATACGTTATCTGTTTCACAGTTCGCTAGATTAAGTTTGTTCTGTTTGATCTCCTTCTGTTGTATGATGGCAATGGCTTATTGCATGCATATGGCTGTAGTTCAAACGAGCCTTTTCCTGTGAATTGCTATCAAGCAAGGAGGATGAAAATCCTTTATTTGTGCCCTTTGATTGTATATATGTCTTGTTCCTCTGCTCCTCCTGCAGCAATGACAGTCTTTGGTATTCCAGCCATATATCCGGTTTTCATTTTGTTGGCCAGTTAGGTGTATCTTTCAACTTTTCTTTCTTCACATGGGCATTGGCGGGCAGATTGACCAAGGAAGGTCATTTCTGAGACATTTGGAATACTACTAAGTTGTGGCCTTGTCAATGTTGGTCACTGCTGTTGTTTTAAACTATTTTTATAAGATGGTTACTTAAATGAGACCGGACACTAATAAGTATCTATCAATGGAATGAACAACTATGCTGGTTTATTCAATCTTTCATGATTAATACAAGTAATGATACACTAGCTAATGCAGTCTGCTACTGTAAGAAATGGCTCATTTGTAATTATAGTTGTCATTGTGCCTCTTTGAGTCTGTCCTTCTCTTCGTTGGCAGCTTTTGCTATTCTGTTGTAGTGCTATCACTTGCCTGCTATGCAAGTAATGATACAGAACCCATTATTCTGACTGCGGGGCTTCTTGTTCTTTTTTTTTTGGTTGACCTGTCTGTTCATCTGTCTCCACTGTTTTCTTATCTATGGTTAAATTTGTTCTGCTGCAGGTTTTGAAATTTCTGATGGAAAGAAATAGCATCAATACCCTGTACGGTCAGGTCACTGTCGGTACCCTCATTCTGCAGGTAGGCTACTCGACTTGCAACATCAGGGACTAAAAAATGGACAATTTCCGATGTTTGGGTTTTAGCTTTATAATATTATGAGTGCTATTCATGGAGTTTCCTTCTCATATTTAGATTTATGATATGTCAGGACTGTGCTGTTGGCCTGCTGTTTGCTTTACTTCCTGTCCTTGGTGGTACATCTGGCGTTCTTCAGGGGGTGATATCCATGTCTAAATTGTAAGTATCTGAACCCCATCATACATGAATTGTATACGTTTTTAAAAGTCGAACATGCTAATGCTCAATTAAATGTAGATGTTATTAGAAGCAAACATGATTAAATTGATATAAGCTGTGCTCGAATCATGACTTCTTACAACTGTTGTTTGCACATCACTGCACCTGTTCACTCTTTGTTTGGGAGGATATTATGCATGTACTTAATTTTTGTAGGTTGTAAGTTCTTAAGGTGGTTAAAGACATGAAGTTAAGCACTTGAGTTTATTTGGTATCATTTTTATATTTTGCAGACATACTTGCATAATTGATGCTGTATTTACTCATTCTTCATGTTTAGTCTTGTTGCTTTTAGGGTTGTACATGTAATCTTTTGTAGTTCATTAATTTGGTTCGGATTCAGTAATCGCCACATTTCATATTTTTGATCAGGTTAGTGTTGCTACTTGCATTTTTGGCCGCTTTAACAATTCTATCTCGTACCTGTGTACCATGGTTCCTAAAGCTTATGATCAGCTTATCATCACAGGTAACCTTTTGTCCAAGTTTTTTTTAATGCCATCTTCTATTGTGATCAAAATTTTGACTGTGGTTTATTTATACAGACTAATGAACTCTACCAGTTGGCATCAGTGGCATTCTGTCTGCTTGTCGCCTGGGTAGCCTTTCTTCACCTTATTTCTTCTTCCTCCATCCGGCTGACTCCTAAATTGTTTTGTGTATAATTGTACTATCAGAACACCAGTTATATATTTCTTATATCATAGTAGAATGTTCTGTCGACTCTTATACTTACCGGAGGCCCTTCCAAATATGTACACTCGTGCTTATGTGATATTGTCTAATTCCAGTGTAGTGACAAGTTGGGCCTAAGCCTTGAACTGGGATCCTTTGCTGCCGGTGTGATGATATCCACGACTGATCTTGCCCAACATACACTCGAGCAAGTAAGACTCTTCAATTTCCATCTTGGAAGTCAATAATTTGTCAGAACCCTCATTATTAATACATCATTCCTCCCGGATGCTTTCTCTTCCAGATGTCTGTAAGACTAGACTGCCTGACATCTGAAGTGCCTTTTACCACTGATACGACTATTTGTGTCCATATTGTATTTCACTACGTGTGGATTCTGAATAGGTAGGCTAGCATTCTGTTGTATAATTTCAATAAATGACAATCAGTTTAAGAGGATTTACTCACAATATGATAACTACTTAACTCTGTCAAGATTGTGACTAATGGTTCTGTGGGCCTGCAACTTCGGTAAATGTGGATTTTGTCCCTCTTCAGTGTGTCTGAAATATGTCTTTGACCTTCTCTTCGAAAACATTATTCCGGGGAACCCGGTGCTCATTTGCTCATCAGTCCTTTTGAAGTAGGGATCTAGTTTATGGTATCATTTTGGGTATTACCTGTCTATGTTAATTGTATGACCTTGGTTAGTTTTAATTAGATGAAAGGATAAATTGACCTTCAATGTGGAAGTTATGAATCCGGCAATATTGTTTGCTATGCGTTTGTCTTGGTTGAGAGCTTATACATCCTAAAAATCTGGGCCTTGCTTAAAATCTCATGCATTTGCTCTAATTTGTATTTAATCGTTTTTCAGGTGGAACCAGTTCGCAACTTATTTGCCGCTCTCTTTTTAGCTAGCATTGGGATGTTAATACATGTCCAATTCCTGTGGAATCACGTTGATATATTACTTGCTTCCGTACTGTTGGTCATTGTTGTAAAAACTATCATTACTGCATCTGTAGTCAAAGGATTCAGATACAACAACAAAACTGCACTCCTTGTAAGATCTCTGATTGCTTCTACAACACTTTGTATCTTCATTTTGGTTATCTTATCTGTTCCATTGACAGAAGGTTCTCAGGTTTATTCATATCTATAGGTTGGGATGACCCTCGCACAAATTGGGGAATTTTCCTTTGTTCTTCTAAGTCGTGCTTCTAATCTCCATCTGATTGAGGTTTGTATTCAATGCCGCTCTTCTTTTGGCATTATGCTAGAGTCTACAAAATTGCTTTTAGCTTCTACATTCTATTGAAGTTTTAGTCTCTACATTCCGACCAGTAACTAGCAAAAGTTGCAAGGAAGTAAAAGGGCATAGGTCATCTGTTTCCATGATCTGATGCTTACCAATGGACTTGTGCAGGGTAAATTGTATCTACTGCTTCTCGGAACGACAGCCCTCAGTCTGGTTAGTACACATGCAAAACACTTGTCTGCCGTATGATGATTATGCGAGACTTTACTGAACGTGTAATAAGAGCGTGTCGACATGCAAATTAGGCAGGAAAAGAACACATAGTTTGTGCATAATGAATCAATTTTCATTGCTTGCCTGTTACTTATGCTAGGTCTCTGATACATGAACCAAGACCATTTGAAACCACATCATCTTTTTTAAGCATGAAATTCCAAATGGTTACGTTTAGTGGCCTCTTGTGATTTGCTGGAGGCTGAACTTGGTTGAGATTGATGGTGCAGGTGACGACCCCATTTCTTTTCAAGTTAATTCCTGCCGTGGTACACCTTGGAGTGCTGTTGCGGTGGTTCCTTCCAGATAGCGCCCACGAGGTAAAAACTCATGCCTTTTCTCGTATACCTATGATCTTACGTGGTAAATTCTAGGGTGTAAACATGATGAAAGAATGCTCTGATGAATCTGCAGTCATGTTCGTTCGTTTGTTTGTTCGCTGTTGTGTTGTGTTTGCATGAGTTGTTGAAGTATATGTATGATTTGCTCCTTCCAGATTGGGTATAAAGGAGATAGCTTTCTGTCAGACAGCGCCAAGCGCATAACTGTGATGGTCCACGGCAATCACCATTCATGATTGATGATGATGATGATGTTATAGTATAAGATTCCACATTTGCTAGGAAAAGCCAAAAATTACCTACCTGATGGGCTTCCTTGTTATACTCTCTGGGGGGCAGGTGCTTAAAGAAGGCAAAGGAGGTTGAGTTTCACTGACTGTAACAGTCTAAGGCCAACTGCTCTCTATTATCTTCCCACACCCCAAAAGTGCAATTGTATAAAGAAAAAGTGCTCCCTTCCCCTCTTCTTCTCGATGTAGCTTACACAGTCAGTCTCCCTCACCCTCCCTCCCCTGACCAGCAGCAGAATGTTGGATGGTAAACTCGGCAAAATCGCGGCGACCCGGTCACAATGTATGTGGCTGATGGACCAACAACACACCGCACTTCCACGCCTCCCCCCTACTTTGTAACATGTAGTTTCTAAGCTGTAGAGTGATTGATAATGTTTTTTTTCTTCTTCTTCTTCTTGGATCTGTGTTCTTTCCCCCCCCTCATCCTATTGTCAATGTTTTCATGTCCATTTTTGTTCATCTTAAGTTTTAGGGTTTAGCAACAAGTAATCCACTTTCGAAATCCAAGTATGGAAGTTTTAGGAAGATCAACTAACTATTCAGGGTGCCCCTCTACAAAAAGGATCAGGAATCGAGCTGGCCATTTGGTTTTTTGTTCTCCATTTTTCTCTCCCAATATTTTGTATTTAGGGCAACATGTCACATGTGTAAGCTCTCTCTCGATTCATTAGTTGATTCTTCCTTTTTTTGCTCTTTCTTTGTGCTTTGGCTTAGGGGAAAGTAGAGTGCACTATATGGCTGCAATATGTGAAAAGATTTCTGCATTACTCGGCAGACTCATGACAGTGGTCGATTTGGACTTAAATAAGTTGCAAATAATTTGACACCGTAGGTGATGAGCACACGGTAGTCAATCAAGGTTGTCAACCCGTTGGTTGATCCGAACCCGGTTGAGCTAGTGGGTCAAGGGTTAATCGGTCACTCGTTTTAGCTCGGAAATATGGAAATAATCATTATATTCTACTTATCCTGATAAATTACATCAAATTTCATCTAACATATGAGTAATAACATGTAACATTACTCTAAAGTAACATGTCGTACTTAGATCCAACATATAGTGAAAATTCACACACTTATATAACATCAATATTCCAATGTTCAACTAAGGATTCAAAGATTGAGTTAGGCGAAAAGAAAAATCGGACAATAGACGCGTATCGCAAACCAAAAAAAAAAAAAAAAAAAGGCACATTTTGACCTCCAACCCGATACCTTGTAACGGCCAATCCGACGAGTGCGTACGACCCATTTTTGTCACCAGATCAGGATTAAAGTGAGTAGACCCGCAAGTTGACAATCTTGTAGTGAATACAATAAGACAGCTCCCCAGCTGTGGCCTATTCTGTTAGTTGAGACGTCCCTTTTGCTTGAAAAGCTCTTTCATAATCGTGACAAAAATATCGGTGTCCTTTTTTGGGGTATATGTACCAAGCGAATCTAAGCATCTATCTTAATTGAATTGACAATTGTTGCCAAACGGGAATTAAGACTGCATACTGGTCGGTAAACGGTGCATTATGTGTTGTCTCACCAACTTTAAACTGCTGCTAACTGCATAAATTAAGGCCATAACCGAATTCAGCTTCCTTCGTGTACAGGGAAGAAACCTGAATTGTTTGACAAGGAAAGCTTACTACAAATATGTCATTGATAATTAAGTTCGATGGGGTTTGAAAGCTCATACGAACCAAAAGTATAGCCAAGACTGTGACTATTCTCTATACGATAAGCAGTGGTGGATACATGATTCTTTAATAGGTGTGGTACATAATGAGACTGAAAATTTCATAAATCTGTAGATCGGAATAGATAATGGCGAACTCGTTCCTTAAATTTGTTTGAAAATGAAGTTAAAAACGAAGGTGGTATAGGATGCAAATGATTGGTACGAATTTTTTACCTCTAGAAATATATTGATAATTTAAATCATTTGGCAGATTAGTTAGATTACAATAAATCTGTTCCATCTGTGCAAAAATTTTAAAAATTCAAGTTAAAAGTAACAAAATAGATACCTATCAATTGCAAAATACAAAGTCTTTTTATGTTATAGGCAACCAAGAAATCGGGCGACATCACCAATCTCCAACATTGCTTTGTAAGTAAAGCATCATTGAATGGTCCAAGTCTTCGAAAACCAAGACCGTCTAATTCGACGTCTTTCCTACTTAATATTTATTTATTTATTATTATTATAGAAATAGCACTCGATCAAGTTCAGTTGTTTGAAACCTTTGTAATCGATGGATGGGAAACACTTATTTCTAGCTCCACTAAAGAAAATCAAGGCAACAACAAATTTATTACGCACCTACATTGAGAGTATTCAAATGATTAGGTTTAGCTTAAAAGCACGTCATTGTGTGGCCAAAATTCACCAATTCCCTCTCACTTTTATGGCTTCCTTATCCTTTTCAAGAATGAAATACAACCATAAGAGTTTTGGAGATGTGCTTCTTTACTGGTCGCACAATAATATTGCTCCCCCAACGAACGAAAACACACCTAACGTCGGTCCAAGGTTTTCCTGGTCCCATGCGGAGACAGAAAACAAAACCCATATATCTTTTGGCAGAGTGGATCATTAATAGACTGGTACATAATAGGTTTGCGTTTACTTTTGACTAGGGATTAGGATGTGGGTGGTTAATTCGCGGGTTGATCTCGTTCTACCTTCAAATAACTCGAACGGCAAGCAGTGGATGATTTATGTGAGTGGATTGTGGATTGATAATTCTCCTACCAACATTTATGTGGGTGGGTGTTGGGTGGATTGCGGGTCACCAGAATGACACGCACCCTATTTTCATATGAAAAAGTAATTTATTTTGCGATCGAATATTCATCATATTTTCGAATCGCACTACACACTGACCATCTACTTATAAAGGTGGAGAATAAATAATCATTTTTTACTATTATTGTTGATTATTGTGTTGTATAATATTCATTAGATATTGGATATTATTATGTAAATTATTGGCTAATATCCATAAGATATTGGGATGCAAACTATAGAGTACTATTAATTGTATCTGTTGGGGAAATATGGATAAACCCACCTAAGTCAAGTATGACGACAAGATAGGCTCGTGGACAAGGAAGTACGGCTGTAAAAGGTCGGGAAAGCGCCACGTAGACAGATGGTCCCCCCATGCGCCCCGACGCGAGGGCCGGACGATGCACCACGTGTAGGCGCTTATACGTTAGACCAGACCAGGCATTTAATGTTGTGCTGACGTAAGGTTGTGCGACAGGAGTTGGTCGGGGCCTGGTCGGAAGCTCGGGTAGTATAAATAGCACTCGGTAGGTGGCATTTAAGCAGGTTGGTTTCTCTCACTAAGGTCACTTATAACACTTATCTCTCTAGAATCGTTGCTAACTTGATCGTTTGAGTGCTAACGGGCGGGTCAAGCCCTCTAGGCGCTGATCTTGCAAGGTCCAGACGCCTGTTGAGGAGGGGAACAACTCTTTTGGCGAGAGAGAAGTACCGTGGCTTAAACAGTATCAAAATTGCAAAATGCGTAAGATTTCTCTACACAATTGGTTGATAAAGTAATGAATTTTTTTTTATGCAAATACTACACTGATTCACGTAAGACAAAGTAACTTATTATAAATGCTAGTCGCAACTTTCTTAATAGCTAGTTGGAGAATCGCTATTGCGGGTTAACCCACGACCCAACCGCACCCTGCACCCACCCAACCCAACCTGCAAAAGAATGTGGGTGTGAATAGCGGTTCAAACTTATTTCAACTCGCCAGTAAGCGGGTAGGTAAATTTGATGGCAAAACCCAACCAACCCGCCCATTGCGCCCACCCCTACTTTTGACGTGTGTGATCAATTTGATTCTTTGATGGCTCTAATTAGGTCCAAACTTTTGTCCTCAACAATATGCAAGGTTATGTACTGCTGTCATGGCTAAGACATGGATTGATATGATGAAATGAGAGACCAGAGAATCAACCCTCAAGATATCATATCTGCTCACTGTCACACTCTTACGTACGATATGTCGTCTGTACGTTTTCATTACAATCAAGTTGGGTGGGAGAGAAACAAACATGCAATACATATGCGTTGTTGTTACCCTGGTTTGGCCATGTCATGATGGCTTTTTACATCGTCTAGGGTTTTTGTCTTTCTTACTCGGCGAGCGGCTATCACACACAAACTAGGATATTCATTCAATAGGGTGTAAGTACAATGATGCCCTCTTTCAACGGGTGCAATATTCCCCTTCAAGCCAGTTGTGGTGTTCCCGGAGGCACCAAAATGGGATATTAGTTGGAGAGCCCAAATGACTCAAGCAGGTGAACCCTCCAGATTCGATTTAGCTCTGACATCACTCAAACAGTGTGTGCATGGAGATGTTCTTGGGTTATACAAAAAAACGCATCAATTTACATTGGCATTCTAAAACAATAATGGACTATTAAGATCAAAAGGTTCAATATCCCAACTGTTATCACAGACAGACAATCAAGAGAAGTCTGAAATACATACATATACATGATTCATTAGCATAATACGCACATGTCGTTATATGATTACAAACAGAGGAGAACATGCAGTTACATTATTTTGAGGAGAGAGTATAGATAACCAGAAGTGTGGCAACAAGATCCCATCCTAATCAGTAGCTCTAGATAAACAATTAAACATATTCGAAATCTTTCCACACCAACCAAATTACTAGCCAAGGCACGAATGAATGTGTTATGGTGCAGGGAGGGCTGCAAATGAGCCGAGTTGTTCGCGAGCGGCTCGGTGTTCGACTCGAGAAAAACTCGTTCGAAACTCGGCTCGTTAATAAACGAGCCGAACATGAGCTAAGCTTTCTTCAGCTCGTAAAACTCGCGAGCTAGCTCGACTCGGTGGCTTATTGAGCTAAACTCGTGAGCTGGCTCGTTTAGAGCTAATGATATGTCTTAACATGTGGCTAGAGAGCCAACTCGATTACCGACTTATGGACGAATCATTCTATTTCTTATGTTTTTAATTCATATGGTTGTTAAATTATATATATCACCATATATAAAGTTTAAAACGTTGAGTATGTGAGCAAATATATCTTATTTTCTACTTAAAAAAATTATGCATCATAAATTGCTTCGTTACTATGAAATAACATGATTTGGAGTAGTTAAAATTTATTAACTAAATGATATATGATACCAACAAAGTATAATATGATATTAGCTAACAAAATAAATCATGTGTATAATGATATACAAAATGAAGTACCAAATAAAAGTTAAGATTTTAGTAAACAAGCTAGCTCGACTCGACTCGGCTCGTTAATAAACGAGCTGAGCTCGAGTTCGACTCGTTTATTAACGAGCCGAGCTCAAGTTGGGGTAAAATTTGACTCGGCTCGGCTCATTTGCCGCCCCATGGAGGGTATATATATCGGATCCCGATTGGACCCAGGTCGGACTTCAAAACGGTCTCCAAAAAGTCCCCCGATCTGACCCCTAAATAGGGAGAAGAAATGAGGAGGAAAAGTGGAAGAGGTACGAAGGAAGGGAGATGGTGGGTGGGTCATGGAGGTTAGGTAGATTTAAGCTGTGGAAAATAAGTTTCTAATAGATACATGTAAGATAAGCTTCATTTCAGTCATTAAATCTTTAATTATTACTTTATTTGTATATATATTTAGAGAACGTCTACAATGACTCAAACCGGCCGAACCCCGATCAGACTATTAAACCTCAAACTCCTTACTTGACCGACTCAATGGTTTAAACCGATTTGAGAACCTTGACGCATATATACAAAAGTGAACCCAGCCAAAACC